CAGTGGCCTTTTGGGGGGCATGGCTCTTGTGGCTCTCTCTCTCGGGGCCTTCTGACGGCATTTTGGGCTTCTTGTGGGCAATCTTGGGGCGCTCTGGGGGACCCTTGGGGCCCTCTTGGGGCGATATCGGGGGCTCATCGGGCCGTCTTGGACGCTGCGAAGACCCCAAAAGATAATGTGCAAAACATGCTCACTATCCCCAGGAAAAGGATTGGTTTTTGCTTTTTCGGGGCTCTCTTAACGGCCTCTCGCGGCGTCTTGGGGGCCTCGTGGGCCGTCTTCGGACCATCGAGGTTCCTCTTGGAGCGCTATTGTGCTGTCTTGGGTCTCTCTTGCGCCTCTCCGATGACCCCTCTGATCGCTTTGAGTCTGCTTACAAGGCCCGGCAAGGCGCCCTGGGAGGCTCGGAAGGGCCAGCGGACCTTTTTCCAAGGGAGTCTTGGGGGCCGCCGAGGCGTCCAAAAGCGCGTCCGGGGTGTCCAAGGGGGAGAGTCCGGATTAGAGGTGTGGGGTGGGGGAGGGGGGGGTTCTGGGCAATAAAAAATAAAACAATCGGAATATACACATGCCACAAAACACACACCACACAACACACGGACACACCACACACAACACACCCATGCGCCCCCGCACACACACACGCACACACACACACGCACACACACACATACACACATACACACAAAACCATCACGCACATCACACACACACACCACACACAACACGCGCAACACACAAGTGCACAAACACACACTTACACAATGACACTAGCACACAACACATACGCGCACGCACCAACGCACAGATCGTACAACTGCACAAGGACACAACCACACACAGAAACACACGCACACACAACACACATAAACACACTCGCACAGAAACACAGACACATAAACACAACAACACAACAATGCAACAACACGTAAACACATAATCACGTAAGCATTAAAACAACTCAACACAGAAACGAGCACAAACCCACAAACCCATAAACCCACAAACCCACAAACCCGCAAACCCACAAACACACAAACACACGACCACCCACAAGACACAACACACCCAACACAAACACACGCACACACGCACACACACACACGCACGCGCAGGCACTGGTACACGCACACGCAAACGCCCGCAGACACATACACACGCACACACGCGCATACAGGCAACGCACACACGCGCACTCGCGCACGCCTACACACGCACATGCACACGCATTCAAACATAACCACACACACACGTACACACGCACGCGCACATTTCACACACAAACAGACGCGCGCACGCATACACACACGCACGCGCACACACACACCACACAACACATACAGCACAAAGCACACAGCACACAGCAAACGCAACCGACACACGCAGACACACGAGCACACGAGACACACAGACACGAGCACAGACACAACAACAAGCACACGCACAGACGCTCCTTGGCGGTGGCGGCCTCGCGGGCAGCGGCGAGGCGGAGAACGTTGAGCAGCGCGAAAAAAAACGAGGGGCGCGACGGCGGGGCCCCTCGGCACTGCTCGGGACGTGACCCTGCCGGCGTCGGCCGCCCGGGCACGGACGGCAGGGCCCCCGCGAGGCCACGGGAGAGACCCACCGCGGCGGCACGAGGAGCGGAGGGCGCCACGCAGCCGGACTGGACTGGAGACCCAGACCTCCAACGTATTGAAAAAATCAAGACGGAGGTTTTTCTCGATTTTCGTCCACTAGGGGCCCTCGCCGGGCCCCGGGACCGTCAAAAAACGACTCGGGATGAGAAACCGGTCCTGGGGAATGGGTCGAGACTTCGGGGGACCGCGTATTGAAAAAATCACGACATCGGATCTCTGGAGAGGGCACCCGCGAGAGGACACGGGACCCTGCCGAGGGCCACGTTGCCACAGGCGTGCAGGAGGCACGGGCCGCAAGACACAGGACGCGAGGGCACCCTTGATCTGGCAGGGTCGGCCTACTGATCTGGGCCGCCTGTAATGAGAGGGGCCCTGGGACAGACAAATGAATACACACCAATAGAAGGATTCCCCAAATGTTCCCATGTGTTCTGGGTGTTTGTCTTCCCCCCCACTTCCCATAGTTCCCCATATTTTCAGGGGGACTCGACGATTCATTATGTCTGTGTTTTTTCCCCTCCTGATTCATGATGCTCCCATCGTACTTAAGAACCACATCCCAGAAATAATTTCGAGCACCCGGAAAAGTGTCGAAAGAGTGTCGAAACAGTGCCTCCCGGGGCCCGACGCGTGAAAACCCTCGAGTTTCGGTCGTTGTTCCTGGTGCTGGGTAGTCGAAGCCAATCTGGCGCCAATCTGGCAGGCCCAATCTGGCAAACGGGGGCAATCTGGCGAGGGAGCCAACGCGAATCCAGTCTGGCGAATAACCCAAACCATCCAGTTTGGCCGGGCCAGCTTGGCCCCTGGGGCCCAATTCAGTCTGACAGTCTGGCCTTCGACTACCCAGTGGTGCTCGAAATCCTTTCTGGTGGTCAGGGCTAAAGCAGGCTGGAACATCAGAACTCCTGACGTGAGCCAGCCGGGCACGGCCAGCGTGGATAAAGGGAAATTAGGACACACAAATAAATACACACAAATAAAAATAGTCCCCATATTTTCTCATATTTTCTGGGTTTTTGTCTTCCCCCCCAATTCCCATATTTTCCCATATTTTCCTGGGAATCGAGGATTAATTGTGTCTGTGTGTTTTTTCCCCTCCTGAGTGGAGAGGGGCTCTGCCCGCGCGGCGGCACGAGGGAGGAAGAGGCGCGAGCGCCTGCAGGCAGCCGCGGGCGCACGGAGAGAAAAAAAGTGGTGGAGAGCCCAGGTCGATCGGGTGGATCCTGCTGTCTGAACAGCACAGGGGCGGGATCGGGTGCTGAGTGTCGTCTTGACAGGTGCTGACAGTTTTCGGAACTTGGCTCGAGCTGTAGATGAGCTGCAGAGCTGCCGGGCACACCAAATCGACAGACATGAGGTGATCAGGAGCGCGAGAGCCCATAAAGGCAGGCACGAAGCTGGGAGAGAGGAGCGCGGCCAGGCAGGGCGCCGGAGAGGCTCCAGGCGCAGGCACAGGAGCGCAAGGCGCACAAGGGCCGGAACCGGCGCGGGCCGAGGGACACGCACACCAACAGACACAAACACACACACACACAACACACAGAGACACTCCGACACACAGACACACAGACACATAGACACACAGACACACACACACACACGCACACTTTTTTGGTCGGCGGGTCGAGAGCGGGCCTCTTCCGGCTAAGACCTAGGCGGGCCGCGCAAAGCACTAATTGGGGAGACAGGGCGCGGGCGGGCGGGGCCTCACAGACACACAGACACATAGACACACAGACACACAAACGCACACACGCACACACACTCTCGAGCGCACGCAAGCGGGGCACGAGCCGCTCGACCGGTCCACACGAAGCGAGCTGACGGGAGCTGAACGGCGAAGAGTCGGCGACCAAGGCACCAGCGGCCAACAGCGAATGCGGCAACCAACGCGTTCGGAAAGCCGGCCTCATGGACCGCGCCAGAACTTGGGCACGCGAGGCAACTAGGAAAAAGAAGAGGGCGGCCGCGGAGGAGGAATGCGGGAGGAGGCCTCAGGCGTAAATAATCTTCGCCACGAGGGATGCGCAGCGGCCGCGGTGGCGCTTATCGCTGGGGACTTCCCAGCGCGGCTCGAAGGCCGCGCTGACGCGCGGGCAATTCAGTGCGAGTGGGTGACTCGGGCGGGCGCGGTATAATAGCGACGTCGACAGCGACAGGCACGATGATAGTAGCGATGCTGTTGACGACGATGACGATGACGACGGCAAGGCCAATGACGTCGCCGATGGCGATCACGCCGATAACGAAGATGGTGCCCACGTGTCGTTGATGAAGGTTTTGGGAGGATTTCGACATGCCCGCGCGGCCGCCGGGGGCGGAGTGGCCCGTGTAGTATCATTTGACGGGGATCGTGCTCCCCTACAAGGGAGCTCGGATGATTTCGACATGCGCGCGCGAGAGGCCCGTTTGGATGCACTGGATGGAAAGGTTGATCAACCAATGGTTTCTTCAAGAATTCGCAGGGTCGCGCGCGCAGACCTGTTTTGGAGACATCACTTTGCAAAACCATGTATCTATGTATGTTTTCAGGACGCTCGATTTTGAAATCCTTACGGTATCTATGGCTTCTGAGGAATTCCAGCATGCGAGTGCGCAACGATGCGCGCGTGTGGACTTTGCTTCATTTGCTGTCAGGATTTTTAGGACACCGATGAATTATTGATATGCCAGTGTGAGCACATCGTTTAAATTGGCGAGGATGAGGGTGGGAAGGGGGGCGATGCCGGCTTGGCTGAGGTGGTATGAATTCATACATAGAACGAACGATGGGGCATAATCGCTTGTGAACTGCACATCCGCAGGGGGTCCCGATAAAGTCCGGTGGGGGGGTAGATCGCAGTTCCTTTTTAGAAAGGAGAATCGATTTGGTGCGCAAGATTTGTTGCACATTTCATGTGGTGTACAGTCCAGGTGGGCGGCGGCGAAGCGGCGACGTGGCGGCGACGGCGGCAACGTAGCCGCCAGACTGGCAGACAGGCCCTGACGACGGGCGGCGACGAGGCGGCGACGGGGCGGCGACGGCGGCAACGTAGCCGCCAGACTGGCAGATAGGCCCAGACGCGGGGCGGCGACGAGGCGGCAGCGAAGCCGACAGAGCGGCAGACAGGCCGACGTCCTCGGAGCAGAACAAGCGCCCCGAAGTGCAAACACTGTTTGGGGAGCAGAAGAGCACCCTGCATATCAGTGCGTTCCACCCCCCCCCTTCCCACTTCTGCCCCCCGCAAGCGGTTCCTGCGGACGTGCAAGCGCCTGCTGCTTCAAACATCTCTGGACTGTGGCGGTATGGATGCGGCGGGCATTGTTCTATGCCTCCCTCCTCCGCCCCTGCTGCTTCCCCCCAGCCTGCAGAAAACGCGGTTG